TGTGTTGACATGGCGGAGGGATATCACCACACCCTCTTCTTCCCATCCACACCCTCTTCTTCCTATCCACACACCTTTCCTTCCATCTACACACCTTTCCTTCCATCTACACACTTTCCTTCCATCCACACACCCTTCTTCCCATCCAGGGAGGGAGGGTTGGGTGGGTGGGAAGGGAGGTGAGTTGGGTGGGAGGGGAGGTGGTGTAGGAGGAGGGTTGGGTGGTGTAGGAGGTGGGGTGGGATGGGCAGGAAGGGAGGTGGGTGGGAGGGAGGGAGGGAGGGTTGGTAGGAGGGTGTGTTCTGTAGGAGGTAAAGGTGAGGGAGAGTGTATGGGTGAGGGTGTGTGTGTGGGAGGTTCTCCCATACACACACCCTCACCCATACTCTCTCCCTCACCTTTCCTCCCACCCAACACACCCTTAGTGTGTGTGGATGAGACTGATTGTTTGTTTCTGTTTCAGATTGTGTGGCCGAGGTGAACGTCAGGCTGGTCGAGAACTCCACCAAACAGGTAAAGTACTTATGACAATATATAATGTTTATATACAAGTATTTCTGAATGTTGTCTTAAACTTTTTGTATTCCAGGTTTGTATGACTGACTGTGGACCTACAACAAGGTGCTGCCTGGAGGAGGTAATAAAGGTTAAGTTTATATTGGTACTAACAGCACCGTAGTTAGACGTAGAATACACAGTAGTAACTCCGCCTTGTTCAGCCGAACATGCCGGTCCCCAGCCCGGATAAAGGAGGAGGGCTACTGCAGTATTATCACCAAACACTTACCTTATTCACACAGCTTTATAATGAAGAAGATTTGTTGTCAGCAACAGAGAAAAATACATAGTGTACAATGATATTTTAGCTTGGTTGTATATAGGTGATAAAAAATAAAGAATTGAATATACAGTATATTTTTTATTATATACACTACACGTTTATTACAATAACAGTTGTAAAGTTAAAGATACAGGAATAATATAATATATCCTGGTCATATAGCATCATGTTATACCGACACTATATAATATTAACACAAGATAATGAGAGAACTTTTAAGTTATCACACAAGGTAACATCTTGTACAGAGCAGCACAGCTATACTGTTGTTTCTCGGCAGATACTGAGGCATCGTCACAGGTCTTGGATGATAGTGACAGGCATGGTCACAGGTCTTGGATGGGTGATTGAGGCATCTTCACAGGTCTTGGACGAGTGACTGATGCATCGTCACAGGTCTTGGATTAGTGACTGATGCATCGTCACAGGTCTTGGATTTCTCTACCCTTTATATTGTGGACTCCACAAGGTAAGTTTATTTCACTAGACCTTAATGTTTTAGAATGAATCTCAGGTTTTGGTCCTACACAAAATTTAGCTTTAGATAATAATGGAAGTTTTTACTTTGTGAATAATTTTGGCTTAACAGTACAGATATTTTTATAAATTTGACCAGTCTTTAGTGGGTGGGTACATATTGTATATTACAATTTTACGCGATTTATCGTCTCTATTTACAGGTAAAACGGACGGCCATTCAACAATTGGTGTCCAGATTGTCAACAATTAGTAAGTATAACTCTTACTGTATTTTACTTCCATGTACTGTACTGTGTATATATACACACATTATTGTACTTATGGTTTATATTAATATTATTCAACTTGGGAATATGAAACGTAAAGTTTATATATTTATTTATTGGATTATACAGCATACAGATATTGTTGAAGAGCAAACCATTATAAACGCCGCCTCCAGTACGAGCGCCCCCCCTCCCCCAGTACGAGCGTCCTCCCCCAGTACGAGCGTCCCCCCAGCACGCGTCCTCTCTCCCCCCCAGTACGAGCGCCGCCCCATACTCAACAACCATTACTTATTACACTTAGTTTTACAAACCACAGATAAATGGATCCATTTGGTTGATGTCCCTCTTGTTGATACTTCACCTGTGGACAAAAAATATATAAAATTAACAATTTTGGTAACCACAATACTTTGGCTACCATGATAGGTAATGCCTTACATAATGTATATAGTTATTATTAATGTTTGTGAGGCTGTAATAGAGGTTTACTTGTACATTCTTCAATTACTTTAGGTATATTCTCAAGTTTTGTTAAATTATATGGAAGAGGGTCCAGTAATACTTAACTTTAGTGTACAGAACACCAATTGTTCTTAGTAAGGTGGTACAGTAGTCAAGGTGTGGGACCCTGTACAGTAGTGGTCACCTTACTGCCTGGTCCATCTTGTACACCAAACAACTGTAATATAATAAATTAAGCTATTTTATATCACTACCAATACACAATATTGAGGTCTACTTATACTGTATGTTCTTCACTGCATTACTTTAAATATTTTCTCAAGTATTGTAAAGTTAAACAGAAGATCCAGTAATACTTAACTTTAACACTAATCTTAGTAGTGTACAGAACACCTTTTGTTCTCTCTTAGTAAGGTGGTGGTCATCAAGGTGTGGGCGCTGTACAGTAGTGGTCACCTGGTTGTGTCTGGTCCATCTTGTACACTAAACACCTGCAACACGAGTTTGAATTCAGATCTTGTACATCTGAATTATTTAAACCATTTTATATCACTACCAATACACAATATTGAGGTCTACTTCTACTGTATGTTCTTCACTGCATTACTTTAAATATTTTCTCAAGTATTGTTAAGTTATACAGAAGATCCAGTAATACTTAACTTTAACACTAATCTTAGTAGTGTACAGAACACCTTTTGTTCTCTCTTAGTAAGGTGGTGGTCATCAAGGTGTGGGGCGCTGTACAGTAGTGGTCACCTGGTTGTGTCTGGTCCATCTTGTACACTAAACACCTGCAACATGAGTTTGAATTCAGATCTTGTACATCTGAATTATTTAAACCATTTTATATCACTACCAATACACAATATTGAGGTCTACTTATACTGTATGTTCTTCACTGCATTACTTTAAATATTTTCTCAAGTATCGTTAAGTTAAACAGAAGATCCAGTAATACTTAACTTTAACACTAATCTTAGTAGTGTACAGAACACCTTTTGTTCTCTCTTAGTATGGTGGTACAGTAGTCATCAAGGTGTGGGGTGCTGTACAGTAGTGGTCACCTTGCTGCCTGGTTGTATCTGGTCCATCTTGTTCACCAACCACCTGTAGTAATATTATTTAATTTAGATCAATCTTAACCTCACTGTATGTCTCCCAATACACAACATTTACTCCAGAATTTATTTGAACCTAAACTTGCATTCTTACTTCTATCCATCCACCCTCCTGTACCACCTTACAGGAGCATCTTCCTTCCTCCTCACTTATGGCTGCAGCAGTCTTGTCTTAGGCATCATCCCACACAAGCCTTCACAGTACATGCTATTTTTGGCATCACATTTGTAACATGCACTCCATTCACCATTGTGTGAGCATCACCAGCCATGCCCCTCCCATTTCTCCCACCACCGCCTCCTCTCCGCACGCAAGCGCTCCACCCACGAGTAGCGCCCCCGCACGAGCGCCTCCAGGCGCGCCTCCCACTGCACGAGCGCTCTCCCACGGCACGGCGCCTCCCACCGCACCGCCCCCCAGAGCCCTCCACTGCACTTCCAGCCCCCACCGCCTCTTTAGTTTTACCTCCAGTACTCTGGGCTGGCCATACTAAGATACATAAGTAACTTAACTGATGAGGCTGAAGTAACATGCTGGGGGATACATCTTGCTCAGGTTCTCTTCCTCTCCATTGGTCATCACGTACATCAGCTGTCATCTGCAACATGTTTAAAGTTGTAATTTATGTACAAAATTAAACCAACAATTAACATCTACCACCAGACTACATGTACTTATACTGTCCCCAACTGTTTACTGAAATAACTTATCTACAAAAAAGTATAATTTTAAGACGCATTAGTGTTGTAGTTAATACCTCAATAACTAACATTACCACAACAACAGTATAGCCAATCATTACAAGCCTTCATCACTAATACTGCTACACTACTAAACCTCTCCACAGTGGTTTCACACAAGGTTTACCACTTAATGAACCCTTACTCAAGCCCCCTTAAGTGTTCCCCTAGTATAAACCTGCTCTCCCTGTATGCCAATACACAAGCATTAATCAAACTCAGTATGTTAACTTTACCTGTTCAGACATTTCAAGTTGCATCTCCTTACGATGTTACTGGGGCCAACTTCACCTGAGGATCAAGTCAGTAGAGTACAGTATTAGATTTTGAAAAGGAAACTGAGTAGTACACAAGCTATTGATTGATTTTAAACTCAACCAGTCATTATTGTTAACCCCAAAACTAACTTTCAATTTATGATCCATTAACTTACAAATGTTATAAGTTACGCTCTATATTATACCGTACGTATTTGTTATACAATATATATACTGTATCACAGGTAATTTATTAATTTGGGTCAGTCTAGGTTAGTTACATTTATTCCAAGTTAAGTTATTAGTTTAAACCCAACTACAACCGACCAGTTTAGTTGTATTAACTACGACCAATGATCACTATAATACTGTAAGTAATTGACAGTTAGTCCTGTACACTTGTATACCACTATTGACCTTTACCAAGTCCTCAGCCCCCTCCAACAGTCCCCCGCCCCCACACACACACCACCTCTCAGACCCCTCCAACACAGCCCCCCCCATTCTTTCACCCCAGACCCTCCAACAACCCCCACACACTATCTCCACCTCCCAGACCCCTCCAACAGACCCCCCCACACACACACACACACACACACTCTCCACAGACCCTCCAACACACCCCCACACACTCTCCACCTCCCAGACCCTCCAACACAGCCCCCCACACTATTTCTCTCTCCACCTCCCTGACCCTCCAACAGACCCCACCCCCACACACACACACACTCTCCACCCCCAGACCTCCAACATAACCACCCCCCCACACACACACACACACTCCACCTCCCAGACCCCTCCAACACAGCTCTCCCTCCAACATAACCACCCCCCACACACACACACACACTCCAGTCCCCAGACGCCTCCAACACAGCCCCCCCACACACACTCCACCTCAAACGCCTCCAACACAGCCCTCCACACACACTCCAGCCCCACACGCCTCCACAGCCCCCCCCCACACAAACACACGAACTATTAAACCAAAATATTTGTCCAAGATTCAGTCAAGAAATAACCATAATATTTGTATCTCAAACTGTTATATTTATGTTTAGTTTTTAAGACAGTGATGAAAGTTTGGCCACCCGGCTCCAAAAGTGGCCAGGGCTGAGATGTAGGAAATAATTGAGTGACACCCGGCTCCCAAAGTGGCCAGGGCTAAGAAGTAGTGGGAAAATGTGTAATTACCACCCGGCCTCAAAGTGGCCAGGGCTAAGATGTAGTGGGAAAAGTGTATTATGGCCACCCGGCTCCCCAAAAGTGGCCAGCTAAGAAGGAAAATGTGGTAATGGCCACCCGGCTCAAAAGTGGCCAGGCTAAGATGTGGGAAAACGTGTAATTATGGCCACCCGGCTCCCAAAGTGGCCAGGGCTAAGAAGTAGGAAATGTAGTAATGGCCACCCGGCCCCCAAAAGTGGCCAGGGCTAAGATGTAGTGGAAAACGTGATTATGGCCACCCGGCTCCCCAAAGTGGCCAGGGCTAAGAAGTAGTGGAAATGTAGTAATGGCCACCCGGTTTCAAAAGTGGCCAGCTAAGATGTAGTGAAAACGTAGTATGGCCACCCGGCTCCAAAAGTGGCAGGGCTAAGATGTAGTGGGAAAACGTGTAGTAATGGCCACCCGCTCAAAAGTGGCCAGCTAAGAAGTAGGAACGTAATTATGGCCACCCGGCTTCAAAAGTGGCCAGGGCTAAGATGTGGAAAACGTAATGGCCACCCGTTTCAAAAGTGGCGAGGAAGATGTAGTGGGAACGATTATGGCCACCCGGCTCCAAAAGTGGCCAGGGCTAAGATGGTGGAAAAACGTGTAGTAATGGCCACCCGGCTCCAAAAGTGGCCAGGGCTAAGATAGTGGGAAAACGTGTAATTATGGCCACCCGGTTCCAAAAGTGGCCAGGGCTAAGAAGTAGTGGGAAAATGTGTAGTAATGGCCACCCGGCTCCCCCAAAAGTGGCCAGGGCTAAGAAGTAGTGGGAAAACGTGTAGTAATGGCCACCCGGCTCCCCCAAAAGTGGCCAGGGCTAAGAAGTAGTGGGAAAACGTGTAGTAATGGCCACCCGGCTCCCCCAAAAGTGGCCAGGGCTAAGATGTAGTGGGAAAACGTGTAGTAATGGCCACCCGGCTCCCCCAAAAGTGGGAAAATGTTAAATAAAGTATAATATAACTATCTGGTCATTGTACTCTATTAATGGATGATTATTGTGTCAATAATTACGTTAGGTTTACGCTCGTTACCCGCTGCCGGCTTGTAGTTAAGGCTCGTTTGTCATGTCGAGTTTGGCGGAATGTTTGAAAAAACTAAGAAATGACTGACTAGAATAACACTTAATATAAGACTATTATTTGTTTAAAGTGCAAGGTTGATACCATAGACCTTGGAGCCCCGAGAAACTT